CTGCTCTGGGTGACCCTGCTTCGGCAGGCGGGTTGGACCAGATGACCCACAGAGGTCCCTTCCAACCCCTAACATTCTGAGATAATCCAATCAAATACATGATGTGTAAGTGTCTAAAGTTATACTTTTGTGATCAGCTTTTTACTACCAACACTAGAGACAGAGATTAAACTGCCAGCCTCTATTTGACAAACACAGTATCTAAAATACATCGGAAAAATACATAAAGCCCTGAGAAACATTACCCTGCTCAAAAATGCACATCTCCCAAAACAGATCATGAATATCCGCAAACTCTTAAATTTCACTAACTAGTTGACTTAGTGTGAATCTGCTTGCCCAGCACAGGACTGAAGCCTCCTATTTATAAACACTCTGAAATCAATTCATCCAACTATTTAACAAACATCCATACTGAAAGGTAATGCTGCTTTTTGGTTTTGCCCCTCATTCCACCTTCTGTGATCACTCTTAACAAGACTATGAAATTTCTTTCGCCATTAGTTAGACAGTTCCAGTTTCTCAAGATGCAGAAGAGCTATAAATTGGCTCTGTAACTTTCACAGGGAACCACATTTGTTCCATTTTCACACATTATCAAAAGCAGAATGGCTGGCTGAACCAGCCTAGTTTGATTTTGGCCAATTGACAACAGCCAACCAGGGAAGAACATGCAGGAAGTTGGACTGTCTCAGGCAAGGTGTCAACATGCACTTAAAAAAAAATAATAATCAACAGCATTATTAACCATTTCGAAAAGAGACAAGATTATAGCATACAGGCAAGAACTAAGGATGAACACGTAGAGGGAGACTGGTTAAGAAAAAGCGATAGCTAGTTGCTATAGTAAAGTCTGTACTTTATACTTTGAATTACATATGGTCCAAGTTCACCGTTAGAATTATTCTTAAAGGCCTGGGGAAAAAAAAATAGAGCCTGCTGTTGTTTACCTTGAAAATGGTGTACTTTTTTTGTTGTTGCCAAGAATGGTTGTACCCGCCGGTCCCAGCTTGGCGCTTTCGCGCAGCCAGTTGGCAGGCGGAAGCTTCAAGTCCGTTTTCTCCTGCAGACGGGCGAATGCTGCTTGCGGCGGGGCAGACGAGTACTTCACCACAGCGCTGCTTTTCACTTCGTTGCCTCCAAGAAACAGCACCGACCCCTGGTTTTCAAAGAGAAATCAGTCTTCTGTTTATAAAGTAATGGCATAATTGCTCTACAGTAAGCTGTTTTTAACGGTAAGTGACCAAAGCCCAGTCATGTGTTCACTCATAACGCCCTCCTGGACACGTATTTCGGTCACCCTGACCCTGACACTCTTGCCAAGCCTACGCTCCGCGAGCCGTAAGGCACAAGGTCGGCTCCCCACGGAATGTGAAATCACTCAACAGGGCCAAAGCTAAAACACCATCCCCTCTCACACTGCAGAACTGTCTGAAAGTAAGTGTTCGCTAACATACACCAACATTGAAGCTAAACGCTTTCCAGCCTCAGGTGAGCCTCACGGCTGCGTTATTTCCCCTCACACACGGTGAAACAGG